TTCCACTACTATGAAGCCAAAGGCACTGCCCTGAATGTAGATTTCAGCACGTTCAAGGACCACCCAATACCTCAAGCCCACTGAACCCCAAGCGGGCTTCGATCAAGGCGTGACGAAGTTTGAAGAACTGGCAGACGCACCGACACCCGACAACAACGCCATATGTTCCCCAGAAGCCGAACCACCACAGGAGGACGGACGGCTTCCTAAGATCTATGGGGAATCGGAGGAGGATTTTGAGGCACATATCCAGGAAGTTCGGTGCGCAGAGCTACAGGAAGAAAGGGAATGATTGGAGGCATTTCCATTATATGACCTTTTACACTGCGCCCGCACATATGATCGCTGACAGCAGCGTGCTGGTCACGGTAGCCAAAGAAAAGCGGGGGCACCTGCCCGCGCGGGGCGACGAACGAGACTCCGACATCACGGAGACACATCATGTCCCTCTATGTTCCACGGGCGAGGACCATAGGATGAGACTCGGACGAAAATGGTCAATCTATAGAGTTCTGCTTTACTGCAGACATGTCAAAGATAGTCCTATTCGAACAGCAACATAGGACATTCGACTTCGACGGTTTGACCACCGTGCGAGTATATTGACCGCTGCCGCAATGCGAACTGCGGTCGTCAACGAGGACGACCTCCTCACGGAGGCCGATATTCAGGCGAATCCAGTCATGGCATCGCAGGCCGCATATACTGCACTCAAGACACGGTTTTGCAACGCGCGGCTCAAGGTGCAAGACGTATGGCGCCACGCATCATGATTTCGAGGTGCGTGTCTAGGTGGCAGGTCGACTGACCATCATATTACATTTGGTGTTGCGGGGTTCATGGACCTGGAGGCTTTCGATGCGGGAACATTATCAGGGGCGGCGCGGCAGCCAAGTCAGAGACTACTCGCATGCACAGCAGCGCGCATGAAGCAATGGTTTAATGCTTCCCTGGGCATCAGCATGGCGTTCCTCAAGGGATTGGCCGATCAGGAACTTTCGCCGATGCAACCGGTGAGAGGGAACGCGTGGTGCGTTTTACACTGGTCACCTGGATCAGCATCGGTGATTTGGATCCCTCCCGGGGTTCGAGCACCGCGATGAGTCTAAGCGCTGCTTCCAGCGCCTCAAGCCAGGCACCGGCACCAATGGTGCACCCAGAGCCTTCTCACTGAAGGTCAGAAAGACCACGAGAGGGGCGGGTCTCATGCCCATGTCGCACGACGAGGAGTTCGAGACAATCAACGACCTGCTCACAGCCAAACATGTGGATGATATCAATGTGGCCAGTACTGAGGAAACCGTCGAGATGTGCGTCAAGTGCGTTGAGGATGTTTTTGTTGTGTCAACGTTACACTTGCTTAAGATGAATACATCAAACCGCTCTTTCCTGTACACCTCCCTGAACTCACAGTCGCAGACGCTGAGGCCAATGCGTCAAATATGGTTATTGACATTTTGGTCAGCCTCAGTGGCGCGTGGGCTTACGCATCAATCACACGTGGTTGATGGTATGCGTTGTTTCTCTACAGCGTGATCAAGAACCGACTGGCAAACATGCAGGTTCGACGACTGAACGCGATCACCAGAAAGTTGCAGGCATGCCCCAAGAAGATCGTCCATCGATCAATGACCCCAACGGGCGAAGTTGACCTGCGCAGCGACTCCGGCTATCGACGCCTGAGTGGAGATGCCGACGACGAGATCAAAGGCTATGGTATTCGCGGGGCAAACCTGCTACGGCGTGGAAGCACGCCAACTGGTACGCCTGTCGTCCATCTGACCGATGCGCACTGCAAGTCTCATCGCTTGCAGGTCCGCTCACCTTACTCAGCAGAAACCCTCAGCCGCAGCCCACAACTTTGAGGACTTGTGACTGCTATCCCACGATCGTCACTCTGCACGAACTCCACGCAGGGCCACTGAAACCCATTCAGTCGAAGGAAATACTGGAGATGGGTGGCCTGTGCATTAAAGTCACTTTGACCATAGATGCTAAATCTGCCTTCGAGCCCTTGTCAAGCAAAGGCCTGAAGCAGCCAACTGGGGGTACTCCTTTGGGGCACATCAGGTGGATGCGACAGATGATGGAGCGAGGTATCGCGCATAGTATCCAGTGGTGTGACACTCGCGACATGACCGCCGACGGTCACACACAAGGGAGCTTTGACAGAGATGTGCTCCTACAGGTCATGGGAGGAACGCAGTCCTTCAATTATGATTTAAAACGTCATACTCCGTACCGGGCTGGCCAGACAACATCGTCTGAGACCGCCTGAGGGGTACTCGTTTGCACAAATATGTTCGCAGGGTAACTTGCGTGCAAGGGCACTTGCGTGCTGGTTATGTGTTCAAGCGGCTTGCCGCGGAGGTATGACTGCGCTTCATCGCGAGGCACCGTACTTGCCATCGAGACCGAAAATAGATTCGCTTGAGATGGCCCGTCGCTCCTGCGACGATTCCCTTCTCTGGGGACTATCGCTACTAAGGTACAATAGGGTTTGATATGGGGCTCGCGTTAGGCAAAGCTGTTGGTCGGGCCTCCCAACCCCCTTCAAGCTGCGCTTTGCGGCTTTTCGGGCCGTCTGGAGGCCGTCAAGGCGTCTTGGACAGATCGTTCGGCGATTCGGGGTTTTCTTGGACTGTATTTGGGGCTTTTTGGGGCGCTCTTGGTTGTTTTGAGGCCTTTTTGGGCTCCGGGACTCCCAGGGGGGGGCGTCGTACCTGCCCCCCCCCGGGACCCCCTGGGACCCCCCCCGGGGACCACCCCGCCCGGCGGGGGAAGGATCGAAGGGAAGGGGCTTCCCTTCGACTCTATGACGACGTTGCTCAACTTCGCTGTGGCTGGCGCGCTGGGGAGGTCCTTGGGAGAAGGGGGAGTTTCGACGAACCCGGGGGAAGGAGGGAGGCAGGGAAAGGGGACGACAGAGACGACTACCATCGAATGACGGAGGTGACGACTTGAACGGACAAGCCCCTCACACACGCCAGCAGGGTCGGCGGATTTGCTCTAATAACATTATTTTGCCATGCGAGCATGGCGTGATCGGCCTATAGGAATGCCAGGGCGGTCGGTCTCTGCTCAACTCTTGATTCCTCGGGCCGGACGAAAGTCAGTGGGCGAACAACCGTATAAGATAGACTTGTCTGCTATTGGGGACGCCTGTCGCACGGCGGCTGTAAGGTTCGAGCCCCCTCTGCCAGTGTAGAGGCGTGAGCTTCCCAGCCGCCCTGTGTCAGGCGCCCCCCGTTCGCGAAAACAATTGTTTTAATTTGCGTGCTCCCGCTACGAGGGGGGGGGGTTGGGAAAGGGTGGGCGCAATGTCTGCTGCATACTCGATACACTGGCGTCTCTGGCCCCGGGAGGTGCCGTGAAGACCAGGTGCGCGAGCGGATTCGCCAGATCCTCTTCGGATCTCCCAACTTCGTCCGCCCCGATTTGCGGGTGCTTCCTATGGGGGGGGCGGCGGGGTCTGTTGTGTCCGTGGCTGCTTGGGATGCCTCCCAGCATCTCTTAGGCCTCGTGGAAGTCCCCTGTGGGGTCTCTTCGGGCCGTTTTGGGGGCCCCTCGCCGGCTCGCTGGGCCGTCCAAGGGCCTCTCGTGCAACCTTGGGCGCACCCCTTGGGGGCATCCTGAAGTGTCGGAGTGATTCTTTGTGGTCCACTGGGGGCGTCTTGGGGGCCTCGCGGGGGCGGGGGCTTCTTTGTCGGGTATAGCCAGGGCACCAGGTAAGGAGACGCCAGATTGGGGCCTGGAGCCCCTAAATTGGCCTGAGTCACTAAACCAGGTCTGCCGCAGCTGGTGTTTTTTTCGGGTGACGGCGGTTCAGGTTAGTGGAATGAGGCGGGGGGGGGCGTCCCCCAGTACACACCACTAAACAATGTCCCAGTAAACCCAGTTTTGTCAACGCCCGACTCTTGGCCGTCAACGAAGCCTTTTGGAACCTGCGGGATGCCTCCTGCAGGCACAGTGTTGTGGCTTGTCTCACGGGCTCTTTTGGGAGCGCCTCGGGGGTCTCCTGGGCCATCTTGGGTCCCTAGCTACGCGAGGGTCGCAACAAACAGCTCCCTCAGGGGCTCAAGATTGCAGAGAGGAGCTTGGGACACAAACCGCTTCGACGGCGAGGCCCACACTGGAGACGCGCATCAAGAATCCATCTGCTTTCGTCAGGGTGTTCTGAGTTTCTTCGCTCCGCGCGCTGCGCGGTAACTTCCCTCGGCCGTCGAAGTTGCTACGTTCAGGGTACCCTGGACTTTCCCCAATCGCATCTCTCGCGCGGGTATTCATGGCTGGGTTTCTTGCGAGGGTTTCTTGCGGCCGTGTCCGCACTGTTAGACTTCTCCCGCCCATCCTTGGCATATTGTCTTTCCTGTGTCCATTTCGGTCGTCCCCGAGGCCCGAGTTGGCACCCCCTTGCAGGCCGAATGCTGCGAGAAACTCGCTCGCCTGCCTGCCGCGCGACGCAACGACGGCGGCGGCGGCGACCCGGCGGCGGCGACGACGACGACGGCGACGACGACGACGACAGCGACGACGGCGACGGCGGCGGCAGCGGCCGCGGCGATGGCGGCGACGACGACGACGACGACGACGACGACGACGACGGCGATATCGGCAGCGAGGGAGGACGGAATGTCGGCAGCGACGCAAATTAAAACACATATCGGAGGAGGTCTTGGACGAGGACGACGGCGGCGGCGGCGGCAACGACGGAGGACGGGATGTCGGCAAGACGCGATTTAGAACACATCTCGGTGGAGGTCTGGGACGACGACGACGACGACGACGACGACTTCGGCGGCGGCGGCGACGACGAGGAGGTCGGCAACGACGGAGGACGGGATGTCGGCAGCGACGCGGTTGAAACCACATAATTATCGGCGGAGGTTTGGAACGACGACGACGACGAGGACGATGGCGACGACCATGAGACGACGACGGCGACGACGACGACGACGACGACGACGACGACGACGACGACGACGGCGGCGGTCGAGCAGGCGCCGCGCTCGCGGGGAAGTGCGTCCTCCACCGCCTCGGGCTGGACCCTGTCGGGCGGCGACCAGGTGCACGAGGCGGCCGCGCCGCCACGGGATGCATGGGGCAACGCCCCTCCTCTCACCTCCTCTTCCTTTTCCTCCTCGTCCTCCTCCTCCTCCTCCTCGAGCATTTCTCGACCTCTTACATGGCTGCGGTGCGTTGGTGAGGTGGAGGTGTGATGCGCGGAATGCTGAGCAGAACATGGCATGCCTACGAGTACCATGAGTGTGTGGGATGTCCCTAGGACTGATCCGCTCCCAGCAGGCCGGTCGCCTGCAATGTTATCCTCCTCGTCCTCGTACCTCCTCAGCCGTTCTGGCACAAGCATTTTGCAGGCTTGTGTTTGCTGACGTTCGATTCTTCAGAACGGCGTGCGTCAGCGAGTGTCGTGGCAAACGATGGGGGCTCGGCGTCCGCGGGTGGCTTCTGATCCTGCTGCTGGTGTCGTTCAGCAGTGGCCCAAACCATGGGCGCAGCGGCCCAAGTGGAATTGCAGCTCGTGCGGGTGTGCTCGCAACTTGGGCGAGCGGCGGCCTTGCAAGCACTGCAGGGCCCCATGGTCTTTTTTTTGCAGCGAAGTCGGCCGTGCCGCTGCAGGCGAGGAGGCTGGCAAACCCGCGGCGCCGTCGGCTGCAGCGCCCACGCTGCATGAGGTCTAGAGAATGGCCCAGAGCACTGGCGACGCTGACCTGGTCAAAACCATCCAGTCCAAGGTGGATACCGAGGAGGCAACCGAGCGCACGTGGACCCGGCCATTCGAGCAGCAACTATCTTCTGCCCACAGTGCCTGGCAGCAGCCGGAGCGCAGGTTGGCTTCAGAGTTGGATCAGCTGGAGAAGTGGATGTCATGGCCCGATCAGAAGTTGGGCACTCGTGGCCTCCAGGCCGGGCTAGAGGAGGCGGAGCCCAAGCATGAGCGCCTCATCTGTGAACTACATGCACAGAAGGGCGGCAAGGTGGACCACCAGCAGCTGCCCAAATTTGGCATCAATCTACGAGACATGGTGGAGGGCAAGTCGCCTCTCATCGAAGTCATTGGAGCTGCGGGCCTCTTCGAGGCGCGCGTATTTGATTTTGAGCTCGCGGCAAGCGATGTGGAAGCGATCGGGAAGGGCGGGGGTCGACCTCGCTGATGGCGTCTCATAGATGGCCCAGAGGGTGTTCGGAGGCCTCCTGGCGATGGCGGGCGAGTTCTCTCGGTCGCACACAGACTACATCGCCAAACCCAAGAAGAAGCGCAAGACAAATAATGGCCCCACTGAGCCACCACCCGATGCTGGAGCTGGACGGCAACCTCCCGAGGCCGGCGAAGGCGCTGGCTCGGCGACGGATGTGGCGGCAGCTCCTTGGGGCTCGGGAGACGGCGCAGCGGGCGGGAGTTCTTCTCCGAGCTCGGCCACTGAGGCTGGCGGCAAGGCTGCGCGGTCTCAGTCGATGGGCAAAGGCAAAGGAAGGCGAGGCGCCCACTGCCAATTTTACGCAGCGAGCTACGGACTTGCTCGGAGAGACCAGGTCCAAAACTGCGCCCCCTCCGAGGCCGAGGTCAAAGTTGGAGGCCTTGGGGGGCGCAGTTCGGTCGTCCAGGTCACGCACCCTTTTCGCTGGGCTGATGGTCTCGCGAATGACATGCCGCGCAAGCGCGGCCCAGGCACCCTCTCTTTCAAGTTTCGCCCCCCCCCCCCCCCCCGGCCAGTTCCCCAGAAGCCCGCTTCTCTTTCTCTCTTTTTTTTTTTTTTTTTGTTTTGTTTCTCTCTCTCTCTCTCTCTCTCTCTCTCTCTCTCTCTCTCTCTCTCTCTCTCTCTCTCTCTCTCTCTCTTTTCAGACAGTAAATGTCGCAGCCTGGGCCTGGGCATTGTTTCGGTTGAAGTCGGCGGAGGCGCGCGCCGTGCTTCTGCGGGGGCATCGACTTATGACGACGGTGGCGCGCGACGAGGCTTCTGCTCGGCGCGCTGCGCGCGGGCGGAAGAGTGAGTTCGCTTACGCTACAGTCGGCGAAGGAAGGGGGGGGGGGGGGGCGCTGGAGAAGTGGCGACTTTGGTGGGGGTTGTCTTGCTTTCCTTCCCCCCGATTTCGGCGCGGCGCTGGCCCCTGGCCGAGCTGTTTCCGGAGTAGTGCATGTTCGTGGAGGGGGCTCCATTCTATTTTTCTTTGTTTATTTTGCGGATAGCGAGGGGTTGTCCGCGAAGTATCGCTCCGCGCTGGCGGCGATGGGCAGCGCTGCCGTAGCGTTCCCAGGTGCCTCTGTTATTGGCGGCGGTTTCAGCATGCATCCTATTGCGTCGCAGGATAGCCCTTTCGATGAGCGCATTTCCCCGGGCGCCGTGATCGCGCGCAGGGGCGCGCGCCACTCGGGGGCCCAGGTTCGACGGGCAGTAAGTACGACTACTTCGTCGTCTCGCCCGGCATATCGACATGCGCCGCGTCGGCTTCTACCCTGGCAGATTCTGGCATCAAGACGCATTGCCCCGTCGTCAGAAGATCCACAAGTCCTCTGCCGATTCCATGGCCCGCAGATTCGCGAAACCCCCCGAACAGTTCGTGGAGGCCCCTGCGGGCCCCCCCCCAGTCCGCCGAGCCCCGACGCGTCTCTCGACGGCGCCCATCGCGGGCTCGGGCTGGTTGCGGACAAGGCGCGTGGACCAGATGCGCAGAGGCGCGCTAACACCTTGCATTCCTCATTGGTCCTGAACATGCCCCTACCCGGGGTTCGCCTGGTTGAGAGGGGCCGCCCGCCTGATGGGGCGCTCGCCACTGCGCCCGATCAGCCCGCCGCGCGCGCGCTGTCTCAGCATTTGCGCGTCGGGGCGCAGCGGCGCGCTGAACGGCCGGCTGTTTGATTGCAGCGACATGCTTTGGTTTGCGTCAGGGGCGCTTGGGGGGCATCGGGGGTGTCCGCGGGGTTTAGAACAGCATTGGAGCGGCGGTGCCTGTCCCATTGGGGCGCAGGCGCCGCCGCCCCGCTGCGTTCGGGCCTGCCCGTAGGAGCGTCGCTGCAATTTCGCGTTCCCCCGGGGGCCGCTGCGGCCGCGCTCGGCGGCGCTCTCGGGGGCCGCGCGCGCCTCCGAGAGCGATGTCGACCCGGGCGCGTGTCTGGGGGCACCGTCGACGCGCGTCGGCGACTGCGCCCGCCGAAACGTATCCGGGCCCAGCTGGGGTGACGCCAGGCGGGTTCTCCAATGCGCGGTTGGCCGCTCTGCCGAATGGAACGCGCGCGCCTTCGGTGCTAGCGGGCGCCTGGAGAAGGCAGCGCCCTGTAATGTTCCACGGGCCGCCGCATCTGCACTCGCGCAACCGCCGTCGGCTGCGGGGCGCCGCCCCCCCCCCCCCCCCTCCCCCCCGCGCCTTGCCGCCCGCCTGGGTAGGGGCGCGCGCAGCTATCGCGCTCGAGAATATTCCCACGGCGCGTAGGGGCTCTCTCGTTTCGGCGCGCGTGGCACGCGTCCTAGGCCCGCGCGGGCTTCGACCGCTGACCTGGACCAGAAAGAGTCGACAAGAGTATGGCCCCGACTTGGTCGCGATCCGCCGGCTGTCTTGGGAGTTCAGGGCCTGCCTATCCGATTTGTTCGACAGTGGAGGTATCAGTTTCGATGGGCGCTATCTTGAACCCTCCAGGGACATGTTCTGGTCGCCTCGGGGCGGTCGACCAGCTTTACCTGCGGGCTGCAGCTGTCCTGCAGGGCGCTTCCCGGGGGCAGGCCCAGGGCCCAGATGAAGGCGACGTTATTTTGGAGGAGCTAGAATCCAAGTTGCAGAGCGTTGCCGACGCGGCTCGGCAGAAGTCTTCCAAGGAGCGGAGGGCCTCGGTACTCGATGGCATTTCGAAAGAAGGGGTGGAGCGCGCGAGTGGACGAGGGAGCGCGCACCCTTGAAGGCCACCACCACTCCCCGGGCACGGCTCAAGCAACTTCGGCCCAGGCTTCCTTGTCCAGGCCAGCTCCAGGACCTCCCCGTGGTGCTAGAGGGATGGCGTCGCGGCTGCCACTTGTTTGAACGCCCTTGACGTCAACAAGCGCTGGAGTTTAGCTGTGCTACGGGATGGGTACCGAAGAGCTGCGCCCTAGGATCACCCCGCGGGGGCGCGCGGCCCGTCGGGCTTGGGCACAGTGGTCGGCTGAACGAGCCATCCGCCGCCTGGCCCGCATGTTGCTGCAGCATGCCAGTCAGTGGCGGGCCCCATGCGATCGGGCATTGGTTACGGGGTTGGAAGAGCAGCGGATTCAACCAACGCGTCATTGCGAGAGGGGCGAGGCGAAGCTGGAGCCCACCATTGCAAGCCAAGCTCGCAACCCAGCCAACGTATGCGAGAAGAGGGAAGGCGAAGTTGGAGCCCAATGTGATCAGCTACGATTCTTGGGTGATGGCACTTGTGAGGCGAAGCCGTAGCCCGACGTCGCCAGTGACTTTCGCACGGCGCACGCGGGGCCCTCTCGGACACCTCTTTGCGAGAAGCGGACGGCGAAGTTAGTGCCCGACACGCCGCGAGCCGAGCCTTCGACCCAGCCGCCGAGAGCGAGGGGGCGGAAGGCGAAGGCAGAGCCCGACGTGACCTTCTGCAAAGCGGAGACCGTGGCAAGCTTGAGGCGAAGACAGCCCGCTGCGAGATGTGGGAGGTGAAGTTGGAACCTACTTCCACTAGCCTAGCTCTTCATCCAAACAATGCGTGCAATATCACGGAAGGTCAAGTTGGAGCCCGACGTGATCATCTACAATTCGGGGATCAGGGCATGTGCGTGGCGAAGTCGCAGCCCGAAGCCGTCGGCGCTCTCCTTCGGACACCTCTTCGCGAGAAGCGGACGGCGAAGTTATGGCCCGACTTGCGAGCTTGGCCCTTGACCCAGCCACCGAGGGCGAGGGGGCGGAAGGCGAAGGCAGAGCCCGACGCGACCTTCTGCAAATCGGAGATCAGGGCAAGCTTGGGGCACAGACAACCCATTGCGAGAAGGGGGCGGCGAAGTTGGGGCCCGATGCCACTCGCCCAGCTCTTAATCCACCCAATGCGTGCAAGATGACGGAAGGCGAAGCTGGAGCCCGACGC